CACTTCAGAGAATGATCTTGCTATATTTGAGCGCGAGAGCTGCAGAATGTGAAATACAATCTTATTCTTGAACTTAATTAGTTTCAAAGGTTCAACTCACAGATTCAATGATGTACATGTTATATGCAGTTGACTGATAGAAAGAAAATGATTCATACAATTCTATCAACTGATATGAGAAGAACATTTCATGCCTCTGATATAGAAGGATTAAATCTGCTTACATATTAACAAGTAAAGAGAACAATTTGCAAGACCTCATCTGAAAGCATTCTGTATGTCATACAGGACCTGAAAGTGGAGAAAATCAAGATAAAGAATATGCAGAAGGACAAGTGTATGAAGAAGCTTCTGAAGAAGCATGGGAAGATCTTTTGAACAGATCTTTCACTGGAATTGCCGCCAGAACGAGGATTTGTACATGAGATTGACATGAGAGACACAAAACCAGTCAACCAGAATGTGTACCCCCTGTCACAAACACATCTCAAAGAACAGAAGTGTCAGATCACTGACCTTCTAGAATGTAGTCTCATATGACTCTCATCAAGCACGTGAGGCTTTTCAGTTCTATTTGTGAAAAAGACAGATGAAGAGTGACAGATGTGTATTAATTATCAAGCACTCAACAAGCTTACAATCAAGAATGAATATTCACTGTCATGAATTCAACAACAGTTGAATACAGTTGAAAACACCTGATATCTATCAAAGATCAATCTTCTCTCAGAATACTGGCAGATCTGTGTAGACAAACTGTCAGTTCTGTGAACTGTGTTTAATACACAATGAGAGAAGTTCAAATTCCTAGCAATGTCATTCAGTCTGACAAATGCACTTGTCATCTTTCAAATGATGATGAATACAATTCTTCATAAACAGAATGAAACCTCATGTCTTGTATATCTTGATAACATTCTAGTCTTTTCAAACTTATATGATGAACATCTGAAGCATCTCAATGAAGTGCTTATAACTCTGACAGAGTATAAGCTCTACATCAAATCAATCAAGTATGTGTTTGAAATAGAAGAGCTGAAGTTTGTGAGACATGTAGTGAGTGATGACTGTATACACCTCATCTCAGAGAAATTGAATGTCATAGTAAATTGGCCGCAGTTGAGAAATGTATATCATGTACAACAGTTTCTTGAGTTGATCTCATACTACTGCAGGTTTATCAAGGATTTCACATGAATATCTGCACCACTCTCAGATCTCTTAAGAGAAACAGATGCAAATCTGTGAAAGAAGAAGTTTCATTCAATTATCTGAAATACTGCATGTGAAGAGGCTTTTCTCACACTGAGAGAATATATAATAATATCTTCAGTGCTTATTCAATCAGATCATGATAAATCTTTCTATATCAAGATGAATGCATCTGAATGAGCTATCAGAGATGCTCTTCTACAGATGAGCAAGAATAGCAAGCTATATCTGATGACATACAATGGTAGAAAACTATCAGATGCTGAGCTCAATTATCCAGTACATGAAAAGGAATTACTAGTGATTAAGCACACACTGATGTTGTGAAATAGATATATTGATAACAGATATACAACAACAGTGATCATGAATCACAAAAGTCTTGTCTATCTACAATCAATAATAAAACCTTTCAAATACTTAGCACATTGAATCTCAGAGTTTCAAGTGTATGATCTTCATATCAAATACTGAAAAGAAGCAGACACAGTGATGCTGAATGCAATCAGTCACAGACCTGATTTCATGAGTGAGAGTTCTGCAAACCAGGCACAAGAGATGTTCACATTAAACATGCTGAGAAAATGCAAGGAATCAGAATAAGTGAATGCCATGATCTCTTGCTTGAAGAATGGCAAGGTGTTGAATGACAAGTGTCTTACAAGAGTAGTAGAAGAGATGCTTCTGAACTTCAAGCTGAGGAAATTGAGAAATGAAAATGACATTGTGCTTTACCATGATCTAGAATACACAGAAGCTCTCTATCTAGAACCTTCATTTAGACACAACTTGATAACTCACATGCACAAGGAATTCAGTCACTTAGAAAGCCCTGAACTCATGAGTGTACTTGAATCAAGAGTATACTGGTCAAGCATGGCTGAGGACATTCAGATGTACACTCACAAGTGCCTGAATTGCCAGGTTGTGAAAGAATCTAAGAAAGGATTAGAACACAAGAAAGCATAATATCAGATGAAGTGTATAATACAATCATTCAAATAATGAGAGATGAATCTCATAGACATATTGCCGCGAACATCAAATGAAAACTGATGAATAATCACTGCTATTGATTACACTACTGACTGGCCAGTCACAAAAGCAGTTTCAGAGATGACAGAGAAAATGATGATGAAGTTTCTACATGATGAAATCTATGTCAACTATGAAATGCTGTGCGAGATTTTAACTGATAATAGTACAAACCTTGTGAGAGAAGCAGTGAGGCATTTTGTGAGCCAGTTACAGACAAGACATCATAGAACAATGTCATATCATTCACAGACAAATGGGAAGATGAAACACTTGAATGAAATCTTGAGCAACATGCTGACAAAATATCTAGTGGGCAAGCCTACAAGACTATGAGATGAATATCTTGAACAGGTGCTATTAGTCACACGAATTCGGCAGCATGTAGTCTTCAAGTGTTCACCATTCTACCTGTTGTATGAATTGCATCCGCGCATCCTGAAGAATGCTTTGAAAAAGATGGAGAAGGGAACAGCAGTTGCAGACACAACAGTTGCAGACATGAAATCAAGATTGAAAGAGATCAGCCACACACATGTAAAAGCTAATGAGTTACTCCTGAACTGAGCAATTCAATTAAAAAGAATATGAGACTCACTTGTTAAGAAATTGAGTCTCAAGATAAGAATGTGAGTTCTCATATATAATAAGAGTTCTGAGAAGTTTCAATCTAGATGGTTTGAGTCATATAAAATACTCAAATCACATTCTCTGAGAATATACACATTGAAAGAATCAGAGAGACAGATCTTACACAACTTAATCAATGATTCATAACTTATGAAAGTAAAGATACAAGACTTGAGTGAATTATGATTATCTGCAGCACTATCATCAGTGTTGAAAAAGAAGAGACTTATAATTGAAAAGTCTCATGAAGTAAGAGAAATTATAGATGCTTATGAATCAGATAATCTCACTTATTTCAATCTTTTCACAATTACAAGGAAAGAATGAGAAGAAATGAAGAAATCAGATGAACATCACACTTTAATAAGTGATAAGACTGTAGCTGATTGTATGATAACACACTGTAGACAGTGAGTGCAATGTGGCAAAGAGCAGTCTCAAAGTAACAGACTTGTATATGAGTCAGATTGCAGAAGAAAAAGAAATTCAGAGTTGAATTTAACTGTTTACATCAGTTCAATTGCAGAGATCACAGAGAATGAACTATCTGAAACATTCACAGACACATGAGATCAAGTCATTTTAACCTCTGAGAACACTCAGAGATCAGATGAGATTAGTTTCAATGAGCTGTTTACTGTAGTAATCTGAGCAGGTGAAGAGAGACAGTATAATGTGTGAGATAGAATTATAAAAGATAAAAGCTGCTGAACCTAGTTATCAAATGCTGTATTATATAGAGATCATGTAAGAGTAGTGACTAGCAGATAAAGAAAAAGTGTAAGAAAAGAGATGATGAATTGATCATCAACTGTAAGAATCAGTCATAAAAGACAAATGTTATCATATACATCTCATTCATTTTCATACATTACATATTAATCTATTTCCAATGCCATATCACTTGAAAAATGTCAAAAACAAAGAAAATCTCAAAACTCAAGATTCATAAGAAATTTGAGAACTGCAAGCTGCTCTTACAACAATGCTGTGCATGTCTCTGATTCCTCTACTACTCTGTGTATGACATTAATGTCATTTATTGCAAGATTGACTGAAATGCTAATATAGGAATGCACATGTGTACATGTAGAGAAATTGAAGGAGAGTGCGGGACTCACAGAACCAGGAGTCAGAGCAGAGGGGACAGAGGCAGAAGAAATGAAAGAGAGAGGCACAGGACCGGATGAACGACAGCGGGAGCCACCTGGGGCTGAATGCTTATGACCTGGTGTGCACACAACCTTCCCCGCAGAAGAGGAGAAGGGAGAGAAAGCAATAGAAGAAGCTTGAAAGTGAAAGAGAGTAGTCTCAGTGATATTGTCATCTTCAATCAGAATGGCCTCTGATGCCGGAGCAACTAAGAATCATTATTAGTGTATAAAAATCACAAAAGCAGAGATAACAATTACTGAACAAACACCTGCTGGCCTTAGAATTGTATGTGTAATTACAACACATACAAGGCTCCTCAGAAAGAGAGAGAGAGACACAGAGAAATGCAGAAAGCAGAACACAGTGTGTGAACAGCTCATTCTCATAATAACATCTCAGACAAGGTGTACAAGCCTCACATCTGCAAGTGTAAAAGAGTATGACATTCACATTTTCATTTCTGAAAACATGAATATTCTTCATCTGCATCACAAAGTTGAACAACAATCATCAGAGAATAGGCTGATATGAGTTGATTATTCTGAAGATATTAGTCAGAACAGATGTATCTACAATATTAAATTTAATAGTCATGAAAAGTTCCTTAGTGTCTGTGAATATCATGACTTTGTACACAGTAAAACTTATAATGATTTCTTCTAAGAACAGAAAAATCAGTGTCAGAAAGAAAAGATGAAAAAGAAAAAGACTTATGATTTTGATACTGTTAAGAGAGGGAATAATTCTCTGATATAAATGAATGATTGCTTCATCATGAATATTTAAAATGAATATAATAATCAGTGTCTGTGACCAAGCTTCAGATAGTTGTGTCATACACTATCTTTGTACAATAAATTGTTCTGAGAGTTGACAAGAAGGGTGAGAGTGTACACACTGAGAGACATAATTCACTGAGTCTATGCAATATCTTCTTGAAACAGGGAGAGCTAGTAATGAAGGCAGAGATGGCAAAACCAGGAGTAGCAGAAGTAGAGGTTGCAGGAACAGAGATAGTGAGAGCGGGAGAACCAGACACAGAGACAAGTGTAGAAGATTTGAGAGCAGCAGAGGAAGAAACAGAGAGAGAAGCAGCAGAGAAAGAAGTAGCAGAAGAGGTAAGAAGAGATGTGAGAGACTCAGTCACACATGATATGAGTAATTCCTTCATTATTACATTCTTCAAGTTCTTGATTAAGGATTTCACATCAGGTTCACTATTATCAGCAGACATGAATCTGTTAATATGTGAAGATTCTACATGAATAAAAACAAACATATCAGCATCTGCATTCATGTAAAATTATGTCAGAAAACACAATCAGAAACCTGCTGAGAAGAAGAAACAGTCAAGAGTATATAAAGAGATGAAGAAGATGTGTTATTATTCATGATAATACATCATTCTGATGATTGTTAGAAGATAAACAAGTTCTGATCACATTTCACAATGTGTTACACTTACTGCTAATGAACTGCCTGATATGAGTACTATGATAACACTTGTTATGAGAACAGAGGGCCATTGCCAGAAACATGTACAATGTGATAGATGAACAGATAGAAAGAGTTGAACAGAAGAAGAGATAGAAATCTTGAATGATGATGACATTTGATGATAATGAAATGAAGAAGATGATTGAAGAATGAGAAAAGTTAGTGAATGAGTGATATAATATAGTGAAAGTTTCTTTGTAAGAGCATATGCAGAATGCTAGCTGAATCAGAAATAGGTCACACAATTGTGAAATGCTAGTGGTGAGCTAATCTGCATGAAGCTAGGGTGTATGACATGGTCATGTGAGTGTGACTGAATCTGGTGGGGGAGGATGTGGTTCGGAAGAATGTACAACTGTTGGATAATACCGCGGCTGCTTCCGAACTACTAGCGTACGCGTATGAGTGTAAAGGGGCCATAGCGGCCGCTAATTAAATTAGCGTACGATATTATAATATATAAGAAGCCGGCATACGCCTGTAATCGTACACTGGCTTAAGAAACCTTTGAATGACATCTCAATTATTTCCAGGCTGAATACTTCAGCATAACTGAGAGAGTGAACACAGCTTTGTAAGAGATATCTAGTCACACACATAGATAATCAGCTCTCAAGACTCTGTCACAATTATATACACTCTGATGTTTAGCTTCTCTGAAGTCTGTGTATTTCTGACAGTCTTCATATCAAATATAATAATTGTCTATATCACAGATATAATACTCTCAGCTTCTTTCAAGAAGGAAATTAATAGTTGTGAGAGAATTGAGTATTATAAATATTAAGAATATAAGTATGAGTTTTCTTTATTTTTTCTTTATTAATCTCTAAATTGTGTTCACAGCCCTGTTTTTATTTTCTTATTTTTTAGCTTTAATGAGAGTATAATTTCTTCTTCTCTTATATACATCACAGACTGTTCATCTCAGTAGAAACTTATTATCTTATAGACTAGAATTTGTAAATGACAGTGTTAATATCTTTATTATAATCAGGTTCTTAGCAAAGATCACATCATTCTGACTTATCAGAATTCACAGTATAAAAGTCATGTCTCAGCTTCTGCAGATATCTTATCTACTCAGATGATTCTCAAGTGAACTTATTTATTTTATCAGAATACTCTTATCACTGAATCTTGAATCAGAGCTTATAATCTCACTTCTCTGAGTCAATAATTTCTTTAATCTGATATTCTCTTTCACTGTCTAGTACTTCATAGATAGAGTAATATATCACAGAATTCTCTTCTAAGAATTTCTTATATTCACAGAGCAAAGAGACATAAAAAATATTATATATCTACAACTTAGATAACAGTTTCAATCTGTAAAACTATGAGCTAACTTTGTTCATAATCTTATAAGACTCTGTCTAAGAGATTCAGCTTCTTACTAGATCTTTATATGATAATGTTTTCTAAACTCAGTCAGACTCTATCATCTTTCTTAAAACTCTTTATAATATGCTTGAAGTCATAGTATCTCTTCTAATACTTTTAAGTCTTTCTCAAGAATTCACAGACTTTCTTCTGAATCTTCTGAATTCTCTCAGCTCATTCATGAGCATCATTACACTCTATAGTGTACTCTCATGAGTTCATTAACATCATTCACAGATGAGTCTCAGTGAGTATCTCAAAGAGGGTTTTATCTGTGCTGACATACTTTAAGTTATTGTACACAAACTCTGTAAGTAATAATTAATGCACTCAGTCATTCTGATTGTAATTAACAAAGCATCACAGATACTATTTCAATATACTTATCAGATATTCTGTCTGATCATCTGTCTGTTAATAAAAAGTCATGCTTAGATCTTGTAAGATCTTCAGTATAGTTATCAGATTAAATCAGAACTCTTCTGTAAAGATTAATTCTCTATCTAAGATAATGTTCACAGGCAATTCATGCAACTGAATCATATTATGAACAAAGATATGAGTCAAATTCTTTGACTTCAAGTTCTTGCAGATGAATATAAAGTATATTATCTTGATAAAGTGATTCACTATCATCAGTACACTGTCAAAGCAGACATTATATATGTTCTTGCTTTCAGAGAGGCTTACAAGAGTATTCATTTCTAGCTGTTTCCAAGATTCTCATGAGATGAGTAGAGAAGTAAGTTCTTTATATAATCTGAATCACACTATCTACAAATTCTGATAAATAGTACAAGAATTCACTATCTTCTTCACAAGTTCTCATATTTTCAGTCTGTGATTCAAAGGTTGCTTAAGCCAGCGTACGATTACAGGCGTACGCCGGCTTCTTATATATTGAATCTCGTATGCTAAATTAATTAGTGGCCGCTATGGCCCCTCTTTACATTCATACACTAGTAGTTCGGAAGCGGCCGTGTTATTATCTGACAGTTATACATTCTTCTGAATCACATCCTCCTTTATCAGATTCAGTCACACTCACATGATCATGTCATACACTCTAGCTTCATGCGGATTAGCTCATCACTAGTATTTCACAATTGTATGATCTATCTCTGATTCAGCTAGCATTCTATGTACACTCTCACAAAGAAACTTCTACTATATTACATCACTCATTCACTAGCTTTTCTTATTCTTTAATCATTATCTTCATCATTGTTATCATTGAATGTTATCATCTCATTCAAGATTTCTATCTCTTTCTCTGTTCAACTCTTTTCATCTGTTCATCTATTATATTGTATACATTTCTGAGAATGACTCTCTGTTCTCACAACAAGTGTTCTCATAGTACTCATATCAGACAGTTCATTAGCAGTAAGTGTAATGTGTTGTGAAACATGACCAGAACTTGTTTATCTTCTAACAATTATCAGAATATACTATTATAAATGATACATCTTCTTCATCTTCTCATACATCTCTGATCATTTCCTTCTCAGTGAGTTTCTGATTGTGTTTTCTGACATGATTTTGTGTGAACACAGATGCTGATATGTTTGTTTTTATTCATATAGAATCTTCACATGTTGACAGATTCATATTCACTGATGATAGTGAACTCAGTATTGAATCATTAGTTGAGAACTTGAAGAATGTGATAATAAAGAAATTGCTTATATCATATATAGCTGAGTCTTCTGTATTCTCTTCTGCTCTCTCTGTTTCTGTCTCTGCTGCTTTCTCTCAATCTTCTACATCTGTCTCTGTGTCTGATTTCTCCTCTTCTGCTACCTCTGTTCCTGCGACTCTCACTTCTGCTACTTCTGATTTTACTGTCTCTGCTTTCATTATCAGCTCTCTCTGTTTCAAGAAGATATTATATAGACTTAATGAATCACATTTCTTAGTATGTACACTTTCACTCTTCTTACTGACTCTCAGAACAATTTATTGTATGAAGACTGTATATAACACAACTATCTGAAGCTTGATCACAGATATTAATTATTATGTTCATTTTAAATATTTGTGATGAGACAATTATTCATTTATATCAGAGAATTATTCTCTCTCTCAACAGTATCAAGATCATAAGTCTTCTGAAATCTAGGCTCTGAATGTGAAGTCTTTGATGCTGAACTATTTGCAATAGTGAAAGCTTTCAAACTTATTGAAATAAAATCTCATAAAAGAGGAAATTGTTTGAAAGAGGCATGAATATTCTCTGATAGTCAAGCTGCTTTAAAAAGACTTAGAAATAGTCAGATTCATAATGATCAAATGAATCTTGAACTGATCTTAAACTCTGTTTTAAATATTCAAAAGAGAAGAACATCAAAGCTGAGAATTCATCTGCACTGAGTTCCTGCTCATATGAATATTCATGGCAATGAATTGGCTGATTCAGCTGTAAAAAAGAGTGCAGAATTGAGCAGATCTATTCAAAAAATTGTGTCCTGATCTTTTATAAAGAGAAAAATAAAAGAATCTTGTTTAGACAAGTGAAATGAAAGCTGGCAGAAACAAAAGAAGAGTATACATTATTCAAGATTTGAAACAAAACCCAAGTGGAAATCTTGTTCAATTAAATGTAAAAAGAAAATATTATCATGTATAATACAGCTGAAACTAGAACATGGCTATTTCAAATCTTATATACAAAGATTTGATGATAGATTTGACTCAATAGAATGCTCATTCTGCAATACAAATGAGAATTCTGAGTATATTATAATGCACTGTGTATTATACAATAGTCTCAGAGCCAGATTGAAAGAGAAGTATGATCTAAATCAATTAAATATGAGATTCTGATTCTCAACTGAGACAGGAATTAAATACTTAATAGACTTTCTATCAGAAACTCAAGCAGCTACAAGAAAATGGCTAAATTCAGAATTATCTGAATATGAAGAGGAGGAAATCAATCAGATATAATCTGTTAAAACAGCTATACACTCTCTTTTAATAATTTGTTTTGTTATAGTCTCTCTTTACTTTATCTTTTTCTGTATCTTTTCCTTTCAATTTCTTTCTATCTATCTATTTAATGTGTCTATCTTTGAGACTGTGTTCTTTCTCTCTTTTCTTTTGTCATGATATTGTCAAATGATTTCAAAGTATCAAAAGATGTTAAAACACTGCAATTTGTAAACAGTTTTTGTATTCTGGGCTGGAATTTTCTGATTTTGCATATCTGAAATTGATGAATGTACAATAGTTAACTTTACAGACATAGAAAAAACCCTGAGAACTAAAGTTCTCAGGTAGATGTCATAGTCTCTGACTGCATACATCTATAATTGAAGAATAATAATAATAATAATAAAGATCATAAGTCTTTTTCTTTTCATCTTTTCTTTCTGACACTGATTTTTCTATTCTTAGGAAAAATCATTATGAGTTTTACTGTGCATAAAGTTGTGACATTCACAGACATCAAGAAGCTTTTCACAACTGTAAAATTCAACATTACAGAGATATTCACTCTGATGAATTTCTTCAGAATGATAGATCTGTATCAGTCTATTCTCTGATGTCTGTCATCTGACTTTGTGATACAGATGAAAGATATTCATGTTTTCAGAAATGAGAACATAGATGTCATACTCTTTTACATCTGCAGACATGAGGCTTGTACACCTTGTCTGAGATGTTGTTGTGAGAATGAGCTGTTCACACTAGACTGGCCGCCGGGACCATGAATTTCATGTTTGATCCCATTTGGTCTGGTCTCATACATTTCTTGGCGTGAATCCCGCTGGGACTGGCTATCAAAAAAACAGATAAAGTGACTATATATCAGATCTTAAAATGAAACTATGACTTGAAAAAAATGAGAAAGTGGTCTCATTTGATTCCATTTAGTCCCATTCTTGACATAAAGTTACTATTTTTAG